CACACACACACACACACTCACAAAGATAATTCTGTGAGGTGATGGCTATGTTACTAGCTTGAGTTAGTCGTTATGCAATATAAGCACCTATCAAAACATTACTTGGGGCCCACACAGTGGCACACGCCTGTAATCCTAGCACTCTGGGAAGCCGAGAAGGGAGGACTGCTTGTGTTCAGGAGATTGAGACCAGTCTGAGCAAGACTGAGACCTTGTCTCTACCAAAATAGAAAAAATTAGCTGGGTGTGGTGGTGCCTACCTGTAAGTCCCTGCTACTCCGGAGGCTGAGTCAAGATGATTGCTTGAGGGCAGTGCCTGTGGCTCAGTGAGCAGGGTGCCGGCCCCATATACCAAGGGTGGTGGGTTCAAACCCGGCCCTGGCCAAATTGCAACAAAAAAATAGCTGGGTGTTGTGGTGGGTGCCTGTAGTCCCAGCTACTTGGGAGGCTGAGGCAAGGGAATTGCCTAAGCCTAGGAGTTGGAGGTTGCTGTGAGCTGTGATGCCATGGCACTCTACCGAGGGGGATAAAGTGAAACTCTATCTCTACAAAAAAAAAAAAAAGATGATTGCTTGAGCCCAGGAGTTTGAGGTTGTAGTGAGCTATGCTGATGCCACTGCACTCTACCCAGGGCACTCTACCCTACCCAGACTCTGTCTCAACAAAACAAACATTACTTTTACCCTGTAAAACATATATGTATAATCATTATTTATTAAAAACAATCAGTAGTTGTCTGGCTCAGCCTGAGTTGGTTAATAACCATTACTTGTTATTGTTATTATTATAAAAACTTTTACACTGTATTCGACTCCACAACTTTGCTGAGAGCATTCCATTTTTGCAGAGGTTGACAGTTTCCTTCTCAATCTCCCTACCCCACCAATGCTGAAGTGCCCAATGCATTGCTCTAAGACATCATTCCAGGCAGGCAACATTCTGGGTCGGTGACCTGAGGTTTCTGATCAGCTAGCTGGGATTCCGGCTCAGTTTTCAAGGAGTCTTCCTTAAGGAGGCCCAAGTTTTAAACCCACAATCTCTTCCTGAGGTCAACAGTAGCAGAGCAATCAGACCATCTAACATCTAACCACACAACACGGATCATTCTCCTTCAAACCAGACTGCTGCTCCCTGGATGTAAAAAGTATATGTGTGTCTACAGGGAGGGAGGTGAGGAGGAGATTTCACGTCCTGAAGGAAGCAAAATCTAAACTGCACAGAACAAATCCCTTTATTAAAAGGATTTGCTCTGTAAAATTTGGATTTGGTCAAAAGGCCACACTCAAGGATCCAGAAGGCCACAGGTTGCTCACTGGTTCCTGACTCCCTCCTTCCTGGTTCTCTCCTGCTTTGGAGATTGGAAAGGGAAAGCTCTTGCTCTCTCAGCCTCCGGTACAGCTGGTGGCCTAGGTGACACAGGGCGGGATGAGAAGCTGCCAGTGAGTGTCAGGGGGACAGGGGGACAGGGGCTCCCTCCTTGCTGCTCTGTGTGAAAATGTTAGGGAGTTGCTGCCACCACCTTGCAGCCATTTTTTTTTTTTAATTTGAGATTGGGTCTCACTTTGTTGCCCTTAGTAGAGTGCTGTGGCATCATAGCTCACAGCAACCTTAAAATCTTGGGCTCAAGTGATCTTCTTGCCTCAGGCTCCCGAGTACAGGCACCCACAGAAATGCCCAGCTATTTTTTTTTTAAAGATGGGTCTCACTTTTGCTCAGGCTGGTCTTGAACACCTGAGCTCAGGGGATCCACCTGCCTTGGCCTCCCAGAGCGATGGGGTTATAGGCGTGAGCCACCACATTAGTGCACTTTGCAACTTGAAAGGAAAAAAATCAGAGAAATGCAGAACTGCCTCCGCCCCGCACATTCTGAGTGGCTGGACCAACTCCAGCCACCACCAGGCTCCTCCTTCCTTGCCATGTAAGTAAAATCTACCTCTGAACTGATAGAAGTTAGGTTTTTCCTTATAACTTGGAAGCAAAATCTTTTGGAGACATAAGGCCTGAAAGTCAACAGAGAACTAGGTATTATTTCCTGTATAATAAGAAATATGAGTTTTTTAAACCAAATATACAACCAACTTGTTTTTAGATTACCTTCTCTAAACATCAGCTGAATGCCATAAGCTCTCCACGTAGTTAAAATCTAACAAGGGCACAGGGTGTACAGAATAACTATAATTTGAGCAGACAGGGAAACGCCCAGAGAGAAAGTCACTCTGTGTGTGTGCCCTGAGTGGGGAAAGACACTTTGGGATGGGCAAGGAGAGAGAAGTCTCCACAGGAAAAGCATCTGGGCTAAACTCTTGAGAAAAAGAAGAAATGAATGTGGATATTTGGAGATGGGGAGGAAGGGCGCTCTTGGCAAAAGGCACAGTTAAAGCAAATATGGAAAACTGAAGCACACGTACAGGACCTGACAAGTTCACTTTGCCTGGTACAGAGGAACAAAGGACAGATTAGAAGGCCAGACCAAACTGTAATAAGCCCTGCAAGCCAGATGAAGGAATCTGAGCTTTGGGGGTCTTCAGGAAGATTCACCTGACAGCAATATGGCTGGGATGGAGGAGGCAGAGATGCTACCAGGAGGCCCTCAGGGCAGGAGGTGAGAGGGCTATGAGCCAGGACAGTCCAAGAGAGAACAGAGTGGGGGAAAAGACAGCCCCAAGAGACGCTGCAGCAGTTCATGTAACACAGGCTGGCTACCGCCCAGCACAGGTGTGAGCACAGGCGGAGCAATGTGGGCACATTTTACTCTACAAAATACAAAGACCTCATGTGGTACCTCTGGAGCTGAAGACAGGAATGGCTTTATGTAGATGTTGGAGTCATGCACCTTCAGGTCATGGTCCCCGAGTCCCCTGGTCACTCCAATGGTTGCCATTACCCGGGCCTAGGAGCACAAGCAGAGGGTCAGAAACACACAGAGAAGGCGCGGCCCCCACTGTGCAGCGCCGTCCTTCCAGGCCTCTTGCTGCTGACTGGTGTGAGTCCCTGTTACTGAGAAAGGGCTTGCTGAAATCACTCCTGTACTTGAGGAGTGTTTTCTACCCAGTATCTGAAGCTTGGTGGGTTGCTGCTGTTCCTTTTCAGCTTTCTTCTTTGGACACTGGACAGAAGGGTGCCCACGAACCATCTCCAATGCGGGTGTGATGTCTACAGGGATGGATGACATCTGTTCACACCAAATCGCACAGGGCAGCCCACCCATCCACTGACCCAGCCGCCCATCTTTCTAGTCCACGCTTACTCTACAAGTCTTTGCTGAACACCAGCCATGTGCCTGGTCCTGGAATAGATACTAGCAAAGAAGGTCAGAGGCAGCCCCTGTCCCTCCAGTGCCCACTTACTATGCTTCATAGCTGGAGAAAAGAAGCCCCTGGGCACTCTGAAACCTGTCGCCATCCCCACAAATTCCTTCTGAGTGGAAAGGAGCAAAGCCCCCCAGTCCCATCTGAGACATCAGGGCTGAGGTCTCATGCTTTCTCCAAACTGTCTCGGAAGGGTTTAATAAAGTCAGCCTAAATACCCCCTGGGTGCCGCAGATTTGATTTTCTCAAACATTTATTGGGCACCTGTAATATACCGACACCATGCCATGAGGGGCACAACTGTCCAAGGCCTCGTCCCCACTCTAAAGAAACTTGGTAGAGGAGAGAAGAGGGACATGTATAATTAATAACGTATCAATGTGCTTCAGTGCTAAAAGACACAGAACTCTGGGTTATATGAGTCAGAGGAGGAAAAGCTTCTACTGAGAAGGTTCCCTAGGGAGGCGGCACTAAACTTAGCACAGAAAGATGGATGGCGTTGAGACATGGAGTGGTGGTGTGAAAGTCATCCTGGGTGGGAGGAAACCCAGCATCAGAGCTCTGAGGTCATCAATAACCACCGCAGGTAGCAGCATCGTGGTTCAGAGGCTTGAGCTTGACTTGGGTGGTGACAGCGATCACCTGCTGGGGCAGGGAGGAAGCCAGGGCACCAGGAAACATCACGGTCTAACACTCTGTCTGTGAGTTCACCCCAGTCTCTCCAAAGTGCTGTGTTGTGTGGGTCTCGGTTCGGACGGTGGGCTAATTTAAAAGTAGAAATGAGACCACAACATGTTTTTGAGGGTGAGGGGCAGAGGGAATGAAACATCGATACATAGTGCACAGCCTGGGCCCTGGGCTTGGGCAGGCCGCAGGGGCCCCCAGCTCTGCCAGGAGGCAGGACCAGCTCCTTTCTACCTAAGAAGCGTTCAGCTCTCAGTGTGAAATCTCTGAGTTCCCTGTGGCTTTTCTGTCCCCCCCGCAATGGCCACTTCAGTCCAAAGAAATCTGATGTTCCTGCTAGTGCCTGAACTTGTTTACAGAGCACACACCACGTGTCACCCACACTAGTTCTGGAAGACATCTGTGGACACAGAATGGGAAGTAACTGCCTTGAAGGTACCCGGCACTTCTGGGTTGGTGCATGAGGAGAAGGAGAGGAGCCTCTGCAGAGGATCCCGTCAGAGCTCCGAGAAGTCCCAGGAGCGCTCCTAGGGTGGGGTGCTGCTCTGGTGAGTAGTGACAGCAAGCCGGCTGCTGGCCGCACAGGGACAGACAGGACTCGCCCCCTGCTTTCCCCAGGACTGTCTAGCCTTGATTAACCACAGTGCTTGAGGGCAGGACGTTTTGTCAATTGAACTTTTTCCTTAACTGGGCACATTCCTGCTCCTTTTGGTCTTACTGCTGACAGACTTCTAAGGGACCTCAGTCCCCTTTCCTGTCGTACTAAAGAAAGTTTACGGAACATAACCGAACAGCTTGTTTAATATTTATGCATTTATTGAAGGCCTGCCACGTGTCAGGTGCCAGGATGGACAGGTACTAGGGATACAAAGGTAACAGGAGACGTCCTGAGCTGGCTGGAACCCCGTGTAGCCAGGAGCCCTGGGGCTGCAGGCCCGGGTGCAGAGCGGTGTCCACTAGGGGGCCATCGTTCAGAGAAGCACACGTGTTCCTATGAGGAACAGAGTCCGGCCCTGTCAGGATTCTCAACCAAAGACGGTGACTTGGAAGGTGTCATCTCCATGAATGGGGCAGGTGTTAGAAAGTGACCACCTGCGTATACATCATCTCATTTTCATATCTGACATCAAGCCGGGAGGCAGGGCAAGCTGGCTGTCCTATAACCATGGGCAGCCGAGGCAGCTGGGACCACAAGGTCAAAATATGGATATTTGTGTTTTATTTCCCTCCACGAAGTGACTCTTTCCACTGAAATCACTGCTGGGCCACACAGAGCCCCAAACCTAATCCCCTGTGCTGTGCCGAGCACTCTCTCCCTCTCTCCTGCCCCTCCCTTCTCACTCCTCTCTCTCCCTCTCCCTCTCCCTCTCTCTCTCTCTGCCCGTGGAAGACATACTTCGGTTGTCTTGTGAGTCATTTCTTCTTGATGAAAACTATCAAATGCTGAAAAAAATTCCAGCTGAAGATTCTTCTCAACATGACCACATTTTTTTCCCACTTCTGACTGGAATTCTCTGCACTGAGCTGAAATAAATTAGTGTTCTGAGGAAGGAAGCAGTGATTCAGAAGGTGTTTGTTCTTCCTGATCCCCCTCCAGAACTCCACGTCCTCTGGGGCTCTTCCTGCACGCAGACCACTGCGGGGTGCACGGATGTCCTTGGCTCCAAAATGTGCCGCTCAGTGCTGGACCCCGACCGTCCTGAGAGCTGGTGATGGGCTCTACTACCTCAGCCCCGGGTCTGGGTGATGTAACCCTATAGTTACAGCGAAGCTTTGCAGTCCCTTCCAAAGCAGACTTGCAAGGTCAGAGCTTCCACAGCGAAGTCAGAGGGCCCCAGATGCAGGTGGAAGGCCCCCCACCCTCATGGCCGCAAGTCCTGCCTGAACTCTTTCCACCCTGCAGTCCCAGCTGCCTCGGCTGCCAAATGGATCTAACACAGCCAGCTTGCCCTGCCTCCAGCTTGGCGTCAGATATAAAATGAGATGATGGAAGTCAAGTGGTGACTTTAAACACTGTGACAGTTACTCAAATGGATTGGGAAGGGGGCTGTTACTCTCACCAAGTTGACTTGGGGCTCTGTGCTCACTGCCCACCCCTACCCCTCCTTGGACCCTAAGACAGGAGGCCTGAAGGACCATGGATGGGACATGGTCTCAAGTGGTCAAGGCTATAAACTTGGGAGCTGCTGAGTGGGCTGTACAGACTGCCACGATCTGCAGCGACACCGGGAAACTCACACACCTACCTTCTTGCCTTCTCCATATATCAGGGGGAACTTCAAGTCCTCATCCTCGATGGTTTTGTAAGCCCTGTGGGGGATAAACAACATTTCTAAAGGTTTGTGCTCAATTAGTGACCAGCTGCCCCGACACAAGCTGCTGGGAGCTTCATTCCCGAGACCCAATGCATGCACGACCACACACCAACTCCTGCTTCACGTGGAGTTAATCTCCCTGCAGAAGTGTGTTCGTGTGTGTGCGTGTGTCCATGTGTGTGCACACAGGCTACAATGGAGGAACTATCAGTCTTCTCTCTTTCTCACTCTCTATCTCTCTGCATGGGTTTCTTTGGACAAAAGTCTTGTGCTTAAAGAGAGAGAAAATCAGTTGGAAAATAAGTCTCATAGTCAGTGAGGTGGAGTCGGGCTTGTGGCCTCAGTGTCTGTGCCACACTGAAGTGGCCAGGCAACAGCAGGTGGACTCACACCATTAGTCCCAACTCGAGAAGCTTGGAACGTGAAGTGCTCCAAGACCCGGCTCCCACCCCAGGGGTCATTTACCCCATAGCAGCCTTGTCCTGGGAAGGCTGGGGAGGGGCTCCCACCCCAGGGGTCATTTGCCCCACAGTAGCCTTGTCCTGAGAAGGCTGGGAAGGGGCTTTAGTGTCTGACCTCAGGGTGGTATTCAAGTTTGGCAGAAAATTCTTTGTTTCACAGTAGCTTTTTAAAAATTTATTTTATTTTTTTTCAGAAGTGGAACCCCGGAAGCAGCAATCCGGGATTATTATTTTGTGTTCAAGCAGTGGCACACAGTAGGCACTATATGGGAACCAGAGTGTGTTAACAGGCGTGCGGCACAGCAGGACGGATGTGCAGGGTTTTTAGCCAACTTTAAAATCAACAATTACTTTTCTTGCAGGGTGCAGTGGCTCATACCTGTAATCCCAGCACTCTGGGAGGCTAAGCAGGTGGATTGCTTGAGCTCAGGAGTTCAAGACCAGCCTGAGCAAGAACAAAACCCCATCTTTACTAAATACAGAAAAACTAGGTAGGTGTTGTGGTGGGTGCCTGTAGTTCTAGCTACATCCCAGCTACTCAGGAGGCTGAGGCCAGGGGATCCCTTGGCACAGGAGTTTGAGGTTGCTGTGAGCTACGATGCCACAGCACTCTACCTGGGACACAGAGTGAGACTTTGTCTCAAAACAAAACAAACCAGTTGTTTTCATTTTTTGAAATGAAATATACATGTACATTATTTTATAAAAAATGGAGTTAGATTTTTACAAAATAGTGTACATTGTAAGTATATTTAAATGAAGTTTCTTGAATGCAACCTTATTGAATACATGTAAATGTTTTCTCAGGTTGATATGAGGGTAGCCACAATTAGGTCACATGGTTTGCACCTGTCGGGTAAAGTCTCAGCTGTAGGCGTTTCCTTCACCCGAGAAGCCTGCCTGCCGTATACCCTGCGTTTCCTTTGCAGAGGAACTTGCTGCACCCTCCCCTTACTCCTTTCTTGAATTTAGTTGAGTTTTTCTCTCAAGTGAGCACCTAGTTTCAACTTATTATCGAGCACACGTGATGCTGGTTTTCGTATTCCTGAGATACTTAGCAGAGAGCTCTCTAAACCCATGTTGGTTGTCACAAAAGATACAAAGTCTGCATCTTTTCCCTGGCCGAGTAGCACTCCACAGTGTGCATATACCACAGTTTATTAATCTATTCATGTGTTGAAGGGCATCGGGGTTACCTCTGCATCTTTGCAGTTGTGAATTGGGCTGCTACAAACATTTGCCCAAAAATATTTTTTTCAATGGCCACCGGACACAGAGAAACTCCGCCATGGTTATCCAGATGCCACCGCCTGCACAGCCGAGGCCGGCAAGTTTAAGGGCAGAGAGCAAATGAAGCCGTGTCCTGTGGTTTTGCTCCTAAGCAAGTTCTGCTCATAAAGAAACCAGACAAGCAAACACACACGGTGCCCGGTTATTGCCTGAATCATTGTAAGCTGCAGCTTCACCCTCTTCAGTCTGGGTTGCCTCATCTGTGAAAGGAGAATAAGACCCAGGACATGAGGAGCTCCGCCCAGGGAGGGGCGGCTGTGGAGACTATTTAGCAGATCATTAACACTTTTGGCATCTGCTGCTTACTCTCACTACTTCAAAGAGTTATAAGGGAGACTGAGTAAAAGATGGGGCAGGTTCTTCCAGATTAGGTGCTAGAAGTTGATGCTTTTCTAAAATAATGTCTCCCGAGCATGGAACAAACTCACTTATGAAACAACCTGCCAGTCCTGAATATACTTAGGCAACTGGGGAGTGAACTCAAAATCAAACGTATGGAAACTCCTGATATATAAAAAGATGCAACCCAATTTAAAAAGCATGCAACCCCAAAGTGAAGCAGATACCTTTTTAAGAAGCTGTTTGAATGAGTTGTTCTTCCCAGGGGGTAGAGAGTCAGTGAGTTTGGCTCCAGATGTGCCAGCGCCTTCTGCATAGCCCTGGGGTGTGCTCTCTGCCCTCTGGACCCTCATAAATCAAGTAGGGCAAAGACTGGGCTCACTCACGGGAGTTGTTGCCAGGACTGAAATGGGGTAATGAATGTGAAGAGCTCAGGCAGCATCAGCACAGGGCCTGGCACATGTGCGGCCTCGACAATTATAGCTGTTGTTGCTCCCGCTGCCAAGCCAAGCCCAGAGGTGTTCTAGGAACTGCATTTCCCAAATGGGAACTGTTCTATCTCCTTCCCCCCCAGGGCTACCAAATTAACACAAAGCGGCAGTACCACCTTGATGTTCATATACTCACAAATTATTTCAAACACTGTGGTGTATAAATCACTGGGGGAACAAGTAAAGCTCTTACGGGTCACAGCCTTGGCTTGGGGGTTGAGTGAGTCTGTAGGTCAGTGGCCCTTAGCCTTGGCTGCACGTTGAAGCATCTGCAAGGGCTTTAACCTGTCCCAATGCCCAGGCCACATTTCAGAACAAGTAAATCAGAATCTCAGTGGGTGGGAATTGGGACTTGGGACTTGTTTTTTTTAAGGCTTTCCAGGTGATTCCAACATGCAGCCAAAGTTGAGATCCACCGCTGTGGACCAGATGTAATTAGCTAACATCCAAAATACAGAACATCTAGTCAAAAACTCCCACTGGGTGCCTGGTGGCTCACACCTGAGATCTGTGATCTCAGTACTCTGGGAGGCCTAGGTGGATTCCTTGAGCTTGGGAGTTCAAGACCAGCCTGAGCAAGAGTGAGGTCCCAGCTCTACTAAATATAGAAAAATTAGCCAGATGTGGTGGCGGGCACCTGTAGTCCCACCTACTCAGGAGGCTGAGGCAGGAGGATCGCTCGAGCCCAAGAGGCTGAGCCTGCTGTGAGCTATGACGCCATAGTACTCTGCCCAGGCACTCTGTCTCAAAAACAAAACAAAAAACTTCTTTACACCAGATCCTAAGATTTTTGAAATCTGGATTAAACTTTACAAAAAAAAAAAACCTTCTAAAAACAAATCACTTATTAGTTTTGTAATAACATAATTGACCAGGGATTTTATTTAAATATCCACTTGTTACAAGATAGCAAAATCTGAACGACTTAGGTCAATTTCTTTATTAACATTCATGAGGCCAATTAACAAAAGGATAAAATGAGAAAAAGAAGGCCTGAAAAGGGCTACTAAATTCGCAGCTCTCCCTAACTCAGAGGCATCATCTTTGGAAGTTTCCATTAAACTTTTTTTTTTTAAATTAACGGTATCTATTGTGATGTTAATTGTGCAAAGCTGAAAAGACAAACTGCTATGGGTCTGGACCTCCTGGAAGGGGCAGATCAATCCTGGAGGAGACTGCCACCAACTCAGTGGCACCCAGGTGTGCGAGTCCCTTCTGCACACACCTCACACCGGGTCCTGGCCTCTGCTGCAGGGCCTGCCACACAGAGCCATTGTCCTAGGAACTCTGCACGCTCAGTGTCAGCCCGTTCCACTGCAGAGCAGCTCTGGAAAATTCTTTCTTAAATTAGTGTGTTTGATCCATTCTCTGGAAAAATTTAAAATAAATCACACTCTTCTGTTTGAGAGCTCTGCAAATACATGAGCAGACTTATCTCCACATTTCCCTTGCCCTAGGTCTTTAAAACTGTTCTTCACAGGACCTGGGGATCATCCCACTCACTCCAACTGTCATTCAGGCAGCAAATACTTAGGAGCTGAACACCAAACACTTGGGAAAGGGGCTGGGTGGGTTCTACTTTGCTCGCATTCTTGAAGGGCTTGGAACTGAGAACACCTCGGATGTGGTCCAAACAGGAATGAAATTATTACTTCGTTTGATGTGGACTTTGCACTGTTTAAAAATCAGTGAAGCTTATAGCTGCCTTACGTGCAAGCACTGGTGTCTGTGAATGTGTGTTTTAGCTCTTGGGCTATCTATGAAGCAATTACTGAGACTGGGTAAAAACAAACAAATGAACGCCCCCTCCCCCCAAAAAAACCCTCCTCCATCCACAAGAAGACAGACCTGACGGTTTTGGCGACACCCTCCCCCGCGTCACAGGGACACGCGGATGATTTCGCTGAATGGAGGATCCCCCACCCTTATTAATTTATCCACTTATTAATTTAGCCCCCCACTGGGGCTTTTAAAACTTCAGATCCTTCCATCCAAAATGCCAGTTTCTCCCATGCCATGCCATGTTAATTTGATAAGCCATCCTGCTGTCTTCACACAGGTCACAAGGAGAAGTGCCGATGGAACCAGGCCACAGGGAGACCGTCCCGTAGGCCAGGCTCCCCAGGAGAGGGGTGAGTCAACATTCCTCGAGGCATGTGGAGGAACGTTATGCAGTACGGAAAGTCTCGCTCAGCATAATCCTGTCACATGAAAGTGAAGTGTCTACCCACTTCCCTTTTAATCCACTCAGCACAGTGTGGGATGCGTCCCTCTCTCCTCCCTGGAGTGTGAGGCTCTCAGCCGAAGCCCCTCTTGGGCCCTGCTGTTCTAACTGCCTTCTGGCTGAAGGTGTTTTGGGCAAATCTTTTTGATAGTTTGTTTGCAGCCTAGGATTTCTCACTCTGTCGACTTTC